GCCTGGGAACTCAGAGCAGAATGAAGCCCATTAGATGGCTCGTGTGATCTGCTGTTGCCAGTGTTAAATATGTAAATTGGGAGTGAAGCTGGGAGCAAAGGCTTCACTCAGGTCCGATTCAGCAGAGACATTAACATACCCACTCCTCATTGGTCTATTCAAGCGGCGGGAAATTAAAGCGATGTTAATGGCCGGGCTGCTTGACAGGTCCCTTTAAAAGAGGGCACTTGCGGTCAGCAGGCTAAGAAGTTTTTCCAAGCCTCCGAATAAAGAGCTGAAATCACTAGTTGGAGTCCTGCCTCTTCCTTCGATCCTCATTCAACAGCCGGGACGGGGGTGGGTGGGAGGTGGTGGGTAATTTTATTATATTGTATTATATTAATTTATTTGATTCTTTTTGTTAGTTTTTATTGTTTTAATGTGGTTTTATATTCTGTAAGCCACCTTGAGTCACCATGGGCGAATAGGCAGCAATATAAATTCAATAAATAAATAAATAAATAATAAAAGATGAGCTATTGTCTAGGGCAGAGTGGATTCAATTAGTTGATAAGGGCTGAGATCATGATAATATAGTCAGTTTAAGGAGTTTTTGTTTTGAAAACCTAACCAAAAAACCCCAATAAATGCTTTCTTAAAAGTTCGGCTTATTCTTGTTTCTGAGAGAGCAAAACTGGCTTATAGAGTAGTGCTGACAAGTGAAAAGAATGTAATATAAATATATTCAGTCAGTAAAATACATCACTCTTTGAAGGCGTCACAGATCAACAAATACCTCAAGAGTTGTCAGGTATTCTTATTTAGTTGATCAGAAGAGGTCACATTTTTTTCTTAATATATTGATGAGCACAGCATTTGTTAATGTCATGGCCTCCATAGATCTCAAATTGAAGTTTCATTGGTCTCAGGTAAGACCAGTTCATACATAAAGCCATAATGGTTAAGATATTATGGAGGTTATTATATAACCCATAATGTTATGTTACAGGAGCTGAAGCCCAAATACCCAGCGTTGGACTGTAGACATGGATGAGGGAAGGGTTCCTTCAGAGCCCATTCATCTGACACAAGAGGCCCTGTTTGGGATGAATGGCAACTTAGAGAAAAAGATCATTATTCCTACATTTTGTTCCATGCTCTGGAACATGGAACATCTTGCACAGCTAATATTTTATACAGCTAATATCAGATAATAAATTCCTTTAAAAACTGAGATTCCCCAACACACTGTCAAGTTTTATAGAGTGCGAATATTTGCAGCTTTTTTCTCCAGCAAGGACAGACTGTATTTCTGTTTTTACAGGCTCACAAGGGAAACTGCATAGAAAATTAAGAAGCATCACTGATTCAGTTAATTCTCAGGAACAAGGGGAAGCCCCATTCAGTCAGCAACAGCTGAGTGGAAGAGTGAGAGAAATTACAATTTTTTTTAAAAAAGAAAAGTTAGTCAACCTAAAATATGAACAGCCTTCAAAACAGATGGTAAGGAAAAGGCAGCAACAGTAGTGACAATCCCTGCTTAGCAAATAAAAACATTTTTTTCAGCTTTCCTTCTACCCTCCAGAAATATCCTTGAATAAACAGATTTGGAGGATGGCCAAATGTTCCTTAGTTCAAAAGTGCGTACTTTCAAAAACAGTCACAGCCTGGGAGATGGGCAGGATAGTAGGCCATGTTTTTAATCATTTTCAATTCCACAAAATCAGATTGCAAAAGCAGAATATCCATTCAGAGAGCTTATTGAAATTGATACACTGATGAAAACTCTCTTCAACTATACAAAATGTTCTTTCTGTCTCCAAAATGGGCTTCTACTTCATTCTTAGGATGCTTTATAAGTTATCTTAACAGTAGTACTTTTTCCTGATGGCTGTGGTAGTCTTTCTTCTGCACCTCTTTTATTCTGCAATTTTTTTCAACTGCCGTGTTTCATGATATGGGAAAACTTCCAGAGAGAATTCTTCCACTATTTTTTTCCTTTCAGTTTTCTAAGTTTTGGGAAACAGAGAGATAGTAGACTACAGAAGACAGGTGAGTCATTCATAAATAACCTTTGCATCTATTCTATTTAGAGTAATAAAAATCTCATACTATTTTTTTCTCCAGTAGTTCAAGATGGGATTCATAGTACTCCCTCATCCAGTTTTGCTTACAACCACTTCTGAGGTAGGTTGAGTTAATATGCAATCATTACTCCTGTAGGAAGTTAGCACCCACTCCTCTCCTAGAAGAATGAAATATTTTAGGAAATATTAAAAAGGCAGAATATATTTCCTTGGATGAGAAATGGAGAAACATGTTTTAAAGACAAAACAGCTCCCATCTTTCTGCCCCCCCCCTTTGTCAATGGGCCAGAGGCAGAAACCCAATTCCCTCCGCCCCCCCTTTGTCAATGGACCATCATTTGCAACACAGTAGGACCCATATAGCAACAGAAACTCACCACATGGCACCTGGGAAGATTACATCAACTAGCAAGGCTATCTAAGACCCCCACCCCCTGGGAATCTGACAACCAATCAGGATACTCTTCCTCTGCCCCAGGAAGTTCAAAGCCCAGATAGGGCATAAAACCTGGGGACTCGCAGCATCTCACCTCTTTTTCTGTTCAGGAACTCAAACCATGTGATTCTGTCCACTATTAAACCATCTTTTCAAGCAGTCTCTATGTTTCCAGTGTCTTTTTCCTCACTTGGAACTGAACCCAGAAGGATATTTCTTCCAACGCTCCAAAGTCATTCTATGAAGTAACTTTCCATAGCAGAAAAATTGCTTGTTTTCTTGCAGACATTTCATTACCATAACTAGGTAACATCATCATGTTGGAAGAAATGTCCATCTGGGTTCAGTTCCAAGTGGGAAGAAAGACACTGGAACATGAAGGCTGATTGGAAAGATGGTTTAATGGTGGACAGGACCACATGGTTTGAGGTCCTGGGCAATCAAGCACATGGGTGAGAGAGAGAGATTTATACCCTCTCTTGGGCTTTGAACTTGCTTCTTGTTCTTGTGAAAGAAATGTATTCTGATTGGTTGTCAGACTCCCATGGGGCCATGCAGGGGTAACTTTATAGATTGTCTTGAGACCCAGGCTTGGTTGAATCTTGCTGGGTGATGCAATGATGCAATGCAATTTACATTAAGGGGGCTTTGGGCAATTCCTATTATGGTTTAATGGCTTTGTCCTGGTTTGGATCTTGAATGAGGGCTAATCCTATTACCCTGGAGCTGAAGGTCTTTTGTCTTGTAGATAAACTGGCACCAAAATATCTGCTGGGGCTGTTTCTGTGTCCCTTAAGATTTCTATTTCTCTTTTAGGGGAAATATTCTGCCTTTTTAATATTTCCTAGAATATTTCATTCTTCTAGGAGAGGGGTGGGTGCTAACTTTCTACAATCAGTGCTAGTAAGGAGTGCTTTTGCTGTCAGTTCATATTCTGGTGTCTTGCCTGTCTGTGTGGGTGTGGGTGGTTTTAGGGATTCTTTGGTTGGATGGTTTACTAATGGCTCTTTGGCAGTTTCTAATTTCTTAGTTGATTGTTGGTCTGAAGTTGACCTTGAAGGTATCTGTGCTGATTACTGGTAGAGAGGTGCTGGAGTCTTTTTCTCTTTGGGGGTGGTTGATCGTCTCTTTTTCAGTCTATAGATGTTAATGTCTATGTGTCTACTGAAACTGCCAAAAAGCCATTAGTAAGCAGGCCAACCAAATAATCCCTAAAACCACCCACACAGACAGGCAAGACACCAGAATATAAATTGACAGCAAACAGCACTCCTTACTAAGACTGATGAAGTTACTTAGTTAGGGTAATAAAATGTTTGCAAAACAACAACAACAAGCAAGCAAGCAAGCACAGAGGACCAAGGACCCCTCATTTCAACCCTGAGCTACAAATATTCTTCTTTATTGGTATTATTTGGTCATTTCTGTCAGTCAAGTTTAAATGGTTTCATCAGAGATCTTCATTTTTGTTTACAAATTGAACTTCAGCTTTAAACTGAAGACTTAGAAACACAGTCTTAATATGGATATATGCTACAGATTTAAGTAACTCTGCATGTCTTTCATGAAGTGGAAAAATACACATGCTAAACTACCTTTAAAATGAAAAATAGCTTCATGTGTTTTCTTTAAGGAGAGCTGTTTTCCTACTAAATATCAAAATGAGCTTCAAATCTAAAGAATTTATTACATGTAAGATTAATAATATAATTTCATTCAAGTGCTTTGTACAAAAATTTATACATCTGAAAACATATTTATAGAATATGAACATCTAATGTGCAGTCAGTATGCCTGTATTATATGAATGCTAATCAAATGGATGTAATTTTAATTAAAAGGCTCCTAATTAAAGACTAGCATCTGCTGAATCAAGCGAATTTAAACACAGCCTCTCTAATCTGGTATGCTCCAGATGTGTTGCTTTTTAATTCCCATGTTCCAGTTAGGATGTCACACTGACTAGAGAGATCAGGACATAAGCACATAGGAAGGGCAGGGATTAAGGAAATGTGCTTTAAACTACCTGACCTTTTAGGTAGTCAGAACTGTATTCTACACTTAACTCAAGCATATGCCTACTCATTTAGTCATCAGGAAATTTCATTCATTGTGCAACAATATTGGAACCCTTTTATTCAGTGCATGGTATTCCAGCCACCATACTAAGCGGGGCTTACTCTCTTATAAACATGCTCAAGAGCGGCGCCAGCTGCTGCCAGCACTCTTGCAGCTTTTGTAAACAAAGGAGATCCACAGCCCGTGTCCAAACAACCCACATATTCGTGTTTTCTTCTTGCTCCGAAATAACTCGGGAGGGGGAGAAGTCTTATACTCCTTTCCAATCCTTCGAAAATTTCTCCCGGGAAGTAACGCAGGTTCTGCCCATCCCTATCGATTTCCTTGCTCCGTCGCCTCCACGTGTTCAGCTCCACCTCTTTTAGCTTGATGGCACGGCATGTATTGGGCCCTTGATAAAGGAAAGTGGCCAGCAGCAACGAGGAAATCTATGCGCTTCGGTCTCTTCGAGAACCGAGTATTTCTAGCTCAATTAATCGCTAGGATCGTCTGCGCTTGGGCCGCTCTTCCAATCCAAAAGCTTCTGCTCAGGCGCCACGAGCCAATCCACCGTCAAGAGGTGGGCGGAGGCGGTAGAGCAAATGCCCAGGGTGGGTCGAGTGCACGGCCAGAGCGCTGGTCTGGTGCCGCCGCCTCTGTCTCTCTAGTTGCCTCAGACCTCAAACTTCAAACGTGGACCGAGCCTGTGCAAAGGAACATGTATGGCGGCTGGGAAAAGCGAGCGACGTGGTAAAGTCCAAGGCTCAATCCAGATTCGGATCTTTTCTTGGACTTGCCATGAATCATTGGTTCCTGCACCATCGTAAACCGAGGTAAGCTTTCCAGAAAGGATGGTCGCTTTGCAAGACTCAATCATTCATAGGGAGCTTCTTCTCAGCCCGGAGATTCTACATGAAGCTATGTAGTAAATGGAATGGGAAGAGAGCACGGATGTTCACGATTTCTTTCGCGCTTAACAAACAAAACTCTGTCCTTTGCGCGCGATCCTTTAGCAGCGAGTCGTGTCCTTATGATTTCATAATTAATCATCCAACCCGATAAGCCCTTTACTACAGGGCCTTCTAATAATGTGGCGCTGCTTATTTTTGAAACCTGTATTTGCCGTCTAAAAAGGAGGGCTCATGCAGTGGCGGAGAATAATCAAATTTTATTCCAAGAGTGGGAGAGGTTGCCCAAGCCTGGCACGGAAGCATCAATCATTTAAGCAAACTTGCTGAGCAGGGGGTTTAGCATTCTTTTGAGAATGGTGCTCCAGAATACCTCTCAGACATCCAGGGTAGCAATGAACAGAATCTTGAGGAACCACAACTCCACAGTATCACTTTTGTTCTAGAAACTTTGGAGTTCAGGTGTGCTTGGTGGTAGTGATGCCCTATTGGAATGTCCATCTTTCCCAAATCTATTTTAATTTAATGATAAAGTCCTAAGAAAGGATGTTTTGGAAATATGCACGGCATCAGAGACTGAGTCAAGGATGGTCACTGATAAGGTAATCATAGTTTGTCCTATGATGGAATGAATTTGTATTTAGGTTACAGCCATTCTTTGTATATTTTCATCTATAAATACTAGCCAACCTATATAAATATTATGAATATAAACATCCACTCTGCTTTTTGGATGGTGTTTTTCTGACACTAATTGCTAAGCATGAACCAGAATGAGAAAAAGGAGTGGTGAAATGTAATACTGAAAATATGTTGATGAAGTGTAAGGTAAGGAATTTGAGGTATCACAATCAAGATGAACCAATAAATCAAAGAACATAATGAACCCAGTAAGAAAAAAAATGGATGAAGAATTTACTGTACGTATTTAATTGAACTGCTGGAGATAACTACAATTATGTATAGATTGTAGGCCTACACATAATTCTGTAAGAGTAAGTTGTATAATTTACCGGGGGTCTATGTTGACATTCATACAATTTTACAATCAATGCACACTGAAGTGAAAAAGGTTGGAGAGAGAGAGAAATGCTCGGTAAACACATGAAAAAAATCAGTCTGAAATTGTCTGGATCAGGTAGAATGGTAGGGACAGTAATTGCAATGACTGGGAAAATCAGATTGTCAAAATTACATGGTGAGATGACTTCATAGTAGAAGGAGAAGACACGAAATGAATCAAAAACCTATGTCACAGCAGACTACACAAATGTAAAAAAAAAGGTAAATCTAACTAAAATTAATAATGTAAGTTGTTAGAATTGTTTCTTGTTTATATTTTCAGAAAATCCAGTGTATGTCCACCTAATACAAATATAAGGTAGATGGCATTTTTTGCAACTGATACAACCTTAACAGTCACTTATGACTGATAGCAAAACTATTAGGAAGCATACTATAGTATATATAAATGTCTGCAGTTTCCTGTGTATATTAAATAGACATCTGAAGAGTCTATATTTTATTTTTAATTTTGGTAGAGAATATGTTGAGCCAATTAAAATGCTGATGTGTTTGCTTTAGTAAATTTGATTAATTGAATCTGCTGGGTACATCAGTAAATTAACAATGCAGTTTTCAATGAACTTCTGAATATGAAAGTAATTGTAATAGATTTACTTTTAATGAAATATGCTCAATTGCAGCCTAGATTTTTGGTAGACATAAAATGCTTCCTATGCTGAGTAAGACTAGCATTCATCAGCAAATTCCTAACTATACAGATTAACCGCCTGCCCTTTACGTAAATATTAACACAAAAAAACAATAGTACATTTTCATTCATTTTCATCCAAGGCTAGTAGATATTTTGCATTTTTGGAATGAATGAAGCAATTGTGCTTCTTTTTCTACTAATAAGAATTGCAAACCATTGAATTTGACAGTACTAGCTGAAATAAACATTATTTTGTTTTTTCTGGATCTTTCATTAGACTGAAAAATGCTTTAAAAAGGATTAAAAACAATTGTAAGTTATCAGATACCTCAGGGAAAGTGCAAGGAAATTCTCTCAAAAATTGCATAAAACCCATACATTTAAATGCAATGTATACATTGATTAAGAATAATTATGACCAGTTTGGTTAACTTAAATTAAAAAGGTGCAAAGACTTCTGGCCTAGAGGAAAGAAATAATTTAGATCTCATACTTTAGTATCTATCTTTTATGGTGGCTCAGCAATCAGATTCATGGGATTTTTGTCTTCTAGATGTTTACCCTAAATTCAAATCTGTGTCATTGATAAATAATTTTGAATGCCAGAAATGTATTAGTTTCTCTTTTTTGTCTTTTTTTCTTCTAACAATCTAACAATTTTTTCTTGTTAGATAATAAAAAATAAAATAAAATCAATATTATCAATGGTTCTAGTTTTTACCAGCCTTTTCTGGAATGATTGACAGTTAAGAAAGCAGAAATACTTATTTTCCATATCATTCTTGTAGCTTGTCATTTTTAAATCCACATTCAAATGAGTGTCTTGTCTGGTAAATCCCTTTCCTTTTCCATAAAATCTTTTAACCACAATCTAGATTCATTTTTCACAAATATCCTTTAATATTTTTGATGTTAAAGTATTTTGCTTTATTCTCTGTTAGAAAATCAAGTGTAAATATTATCCTTTAATTGTAATCTTATTTCCTTCTGATTTCCTCTAGTGTGTAACCTTCAAATCCTTCATGGGTTTTTTTTAGGAATTCAAAACATTTTCCAATAGGAAGGATTCTTATAATTAACTTTAAAATCTTATTTCAAGTCATCTAGACAGTAAGTTCATTTGAAACTTTCCAAAACCAATGTTTTAACCACTCCTTTCTTGTTTATTCCAAATAAAAGATTTTGAAAATAAATCCTTAAATTTGCATTTAAAACTTCTTTCACTAGGAATTGAAGGAAACACACCTGCTGCTCTAAAACTTACATAACAAAGGTTTCTAATAATTAAAAAGCAATTTCCAAAAGTGATTAAGAAATGAGGTTTGGCAGAATGCTATGTCCACATAATAAACTACATTGCAGCTATGAGCTTAATTGGAGCCCCTCAACTCCAAGTCAAGGGCTCATAAGCCAACTGCAAAAACTTCAGTTCCTACAGTTTACTTAGTGAACTTTCCAGAGTTCACAAGGATGCTCTCAAGATCTCTCTTTTATCCGGATTGATTTTTAATGGCAATCTGTCAATGACAACAAAATAAGAGGGGAGAAAAAGCATGGGTTGTTTCATATAATCAGGCTTTTTGTTTCTCAACTCTACTAATTCCAGTGTAAAATGTATCCAATATTGTCTTCTCATGAGTGTCTTCTTTGAAAGCCATTCTACATATGGTAGCCCACATTTAATCTCTTAATTTATACTCAATTTAATCACATTTAAATTGAGTATAAATAATTAGCAATAGATCAGGTACCTATTCCAGGCAATTCCAGATTTTTTGTCATAATATATCCATTTCAGAAAAAACAATTGCCTTGAAATGGAAGTTCCCTTTTACAAGTTACAAGTCAGTTACATCAGGTCATGTACATTACAGAGGTCATGCCATTTGGCCATGAGAGCGCACATCTCACTTTAAAATGGATTACAACTTTGTATGTTTTCCCTAGCACCTTAGAAAACAATATTTGGAGGTCTGGCTTTCAACACAGAGTTTTGAATTCCTGATAGATGTTTGCCATCCTGAAGCAAAGGACTGTAATATTGTAAACATAATTTTTGATCAGCCCTTTATATTTAGAATTATATCTGTATGTCTCTAATTTTACATATAAAGTACTGCATATGCTAAATGCTGGCTTTTTATAAGCATCCTGTTTTTTACATTCTGTACTGCTAAAAACATGTTTCCATATCTGAATATAAATTAATTGTGTTCTTTGTGTGCACTTAAGCATTCTTGGTATTGCGCAATTGTTTACTCCTAAATGGAATTCTTTTTCATCCTTGCCTGTATGCTTAGTATAAAAGCAAAAGAGAGAGAGAGAGAGAGAGAGAGAGAGAGATTTGCTCTTGTGCCACATTTTGGAAAGTCTAAAAGGGCTTTAGTGCAGAAATCGAGGAAGACACTCCATGAAATCGATACCATAGTGATCAATATCAAAAGAAAAAATAAACTAAATTTATCTAGTTTGTAGATAATCCAATGGATTATCCAATAGATAACTCTTCCTTTCCATGGCATTGGAGTGAATTTAAGGAGAGAGTCTTTTTCAGGCTAAGATCAACTGTTAGCAACCTCATGGATATATTCCTATTTTTCTTAGCAACAGTATAGATGAGGTTTATTATTTTCTTAAAACTTCAAAATCTACCTTGGTTTTCTTCCAAGTAAATACTAATCAGACTTGAACCTCTTTGATTTTGAGATCAGCCATGATCAGGGGAGATTGACACCTAGTGGGGTATTGTTATGACACAGACTGAAAGATAAGAAATTCTGAAACCATTGTAGATTGAGTTTTGTGGTTTCAGTTTAGATGCATCTTAATCAGGCAGTATAACTCAAAAACAGAATTGCAGAATACACTTATTTATTTGACTTAAAGAGCAACTTGTGAAGGCTATACTTTGTCAGGGCACAAATTCCCAATTAACCATGTTTGCTGAAAACAATTATATTTTCCTGTCATTTTTGAATTAGAGGTGAAAGATGGTAATGTAAATTCTAACATATCACTGTTAAAAAATAACAAGTTCTTTCAAAATCAGTCTCATCTGGTGATAAGGACCACTTCAAACTACCAGAAAATTAGATCAGCTGTTTTCATATCTGTTCTTATTTTAAAGGAACACCCAGATTCCAAATGAGATTCTGTACATTCAGTAATGTAACTCGTGCCTCATAAAGAAATCTATCATTATGTCTAA